GACTCTTGCCCAAAATGCCTATCATCAGTAGGTGAGATTGAAAGTAGGGCTTTCAACTTTCATTGCCCAGCAGCATCCTTAAGACTCACAGTCTAACTGATTCTGTCCTTTTAATGGGTGAAAATTGAGAGCGACATTTACTGGGTCAGAGTAGTTATGTCAGCATATAGCACGAATCGACACTGTGCTCGGAACAAGGAGGAACCTGTGGCTGTGGCACAGAGGCACAGGTAACTCCAGTCCTGGCTCTGACACAGGCTTCTTACGAGACCTTGGGCAAAGCATTTAATCTCTGCCTCAGTTTGCCATCTGTAGAATAAAAATGATACAACTGATTTCCTCCCGTCTTGGTATTTTTATTTTAATCTGTAAGCAGGCGTTGTTTATAAATAGGATATATTTATTGATCTGCATGGGTTAATTTACTCCTGCTCCGCAGCAAGTTTTTCAGCCTGGACTAGGCTACCAGCTCCCTCATTTATATTGCTACCATTCAAAGCTATCTGTTTGGCTATGTGCATGCTATACTGCAATCAGTGGTATGTAGTTGTTGTAAGTCTGCATACACAGTCAGTCTGCAGTTGACATGGGCTAGGACTTCCAAGTCATACCAAAATACAAGTAATTTATAATGCATATGTCTCAGACACTAAGAAGAGTGGACAAAGTTTCCATTTTCCTGGTCTCTGTGAGTCAGGATGAATTAACCGCCTGCCTGTGACAGCAAAAACACAGTAACCATCGGAATGGAAGTGGAAAAAAACAGAGTCATGAAATTCAGGCTGAGACTCATCCTGTTTTGCAAAACTGTCACAGGATATTTCTGTGAAATCATCTCAGTGACCTCCTACAAGAAATCAGTGCTGCGAACTTGGTTCACAGTACTTATTTAATGGCTATAGGATGGAAATAACAGTGACTTATTTACATGCCAATGACAAATAACAGCTTGTTTGTGAGCATGGATACAGTAAACGACTTCGGTCAGCATTTTCCACATTCTGGGCTCATGGTAGAGAGCCCTGGAACATTTAGTGATAGGTAGAGCAAAGCAAGGCACAAAACAAAGAGGGAAAAATAACAGCAAAAACTCCTGATGTTGCTCCGCTGGCTTCAACTCTATAGCACAGCATTGATTTACACTGGATAATTTCTCTATGAAAACACTGATGGGCCTGTTATCTATTACTTCCTCTTCTGTATTTGAAAGACAACATGCACAGGTAAAATTGGGGCTTTCTGTCCTAGGGCATGAGAATTGTTGCCATGCAAAGTTATTCCATTTAAATCTTTCATCATCCTGATCCCTGAGAAATTTCAGAACTGCTGTCAAGAAAGACTTCTCAGGCACTGCAGCTGAACTGAAAGATGGAAGGTATTGATGCCTTCATTATGTTAGTGCCAGTGGTCTAGAGGCTTCCCAGGAGTTTTGTGGCGTACTACTCAAAATGGCATACATGCACCCAAGTGGGCTGCCCTAAACCCAGCCAGGTTAGCTCCTAGTGCTTAACCGCTTTGCGTCTGTGCAACACTTCCTGCATCTGTCTTCTTTGCACTTATTAAGATTACTCTTCTGCCACCAAAATCACTAGGAGAGTTATACAAGTTTACATAAGGATTCTGGCAGAACTAAGCGTACATGGGAAAGTCCCCTTTAACACCTTGATGTCTTCACTTTTCTTAGGACTTCTTTCTTTGTTTATTGAATAAACTGGGATTCCCAGGAAATCAGAGCACCATTTCCCAAGGCTGTTGCTTGCCCTCAAGCAGGCCATTAAAGAGACCCTCCCTGACCTTTCCCACTCATCATTAATGGGAAATATGTGAGGCTGAAAAGGGAAGCGAGCACAACAGCTCCACACAGCCCAGCATGCTTCCGGAGGAGCCTGAGACCGGGGCACAAAACAAAGAGCAGCCCAGTGCTCTCTGCCTGCCCCAGCCCTCAGCTGACTGCCCCCAGGGGACAGGAGGCACCAAAGTAACCCAGAGCAAAAGGTGGGAGTGGAGTGGTGGTGGTGAAAATATGCGATTAATCGTTACTTTCCAGTTGTCTGTACTATCTCCTAAACTTTAAATACAGCAGTTGCTTCTGGCAAAAAAACCACCCAAAAAGGTGAAAGGATGAAGATAACAGGCGGGTAGCTGAAAGCATTTTTTATCTCAGGGCTGTGGCATTCATACAGGATCCATCAGATCTGTTGAGTAACACAGGTATGCTGGGAAGTGTGTGTGTCAGCCGTGGGGCTTTCATCAGCCAATTACTTGATCTTCTGGGGCCACCATGTTCCCATTAACCTACAGAAGAAGTATCTGTTTCCTGCCCTGGTTAATACTTTTATGTCTCAACCTTTGAAAGCTCAGAGTGTTTTTCTGAGCAAGGAAACCAAAATTCCCTTTTTGTCTCAGTAGTGCTTTCAGATGTGACAGTCCTTTCAGGTCTAAGAGTTAGCTCAGAAGTGGGACCTCTTTTGCTTCTGATACTGCAACTTATCCTACTCCTCTAAGCACAGCTATGTAATGAATTCATAGTCAGGCCCACACGGTTGTTCTCTTTGATACTATCTTGCTCCCAGATAAATGATATTTCACAGTCATACAGGCTCGGCAAGCTGATGCTTCTTGCTGCAGCTGTTGTTCCCAACAGGAAGGGAAGGTTTACACTGCACTTGAAGGAAAATAAATAAATAAGGCAAAGGAAAAAAATCTCTCTTCAGGAAGTTATGCCTGACAGCAATAGGACATCAGACTGGAAATCGCTGTCTTCACTGGATTTTCACGAGAAAACATAATGCAAAATCTGTAATTTCAGCCTGAAAAAACTGTGGTAAGAGTGAAAGAGGCTGAGTGGAAAACTCTCAGTAATATCGTTCGTTGTCCACCCTGTGCAGCCTCCCAGCCTCAGAGAGGGTGTTTGGATCTACCACGTGGACCTTTGAGGAGAGGATGTAGCAGCGGCTGAAGCGGTTCTTGGCTGGTTGTGAGTTCAAGATGGGTCATCAGTAGATGCCCACATTTGCATGAGCCAGGGGTGTGTCCCACCAGGCCATGTGCTGTGGTCACCTGGCCAGCTTGCATGAGAGGTGGTGTTGGCTTTCTCCTCTCCTCTACTGGCTACATGCTTCAGGCTGTCTTAAACATGCCAGGCTGGCGAGCTATGTGTGGTTGGGATGGATCCCAAACTTTGAAGACTTTCTGCAGGTCAAGGAGAGATACAGCTATGGTGCACCAAAAGCTAGGCTGAATGCTGGAGGAGGGATACTTCATATGAGACATGCTTCAAGAAAGCGGTTGGCTCTGGACACTCAGTGAAATACCATTTTCTACTGATTAGCTTCCTTTCCTTCTCTGGAAGGAATAATAGTCTATTTATTTGTTACCTTGTGCGGTAGGGTCTCCTCCCTGACTTTAGTCCTCTTGTTTCCTTCTTGTTTCCCATTTATTTTTGTGCTAAGAGGGTGAGGATTACTGGCCATAGATTACCCATCCCCTGTGTGAGCCAACTCACATCTGGTGTTATGTTATGGAGAATGAAACCTTTGTGACCATGCAAAAGGGACCAAAGTAGACTTGTTACCCAGGGTGGACTACAATGCTAGTATAACTTACTTTTTATGTGGTGCCTCTGAGACCAGTGACTGTAACAACTAGCTTGTGAAATCCTTGGGGCACAGAGCAGGAATTTTCTGTCTGCAGTCATAACAGGAATTGTTACTGAACAAGTTCTTGACCCTCACATAAGACCAAAAGAGAAGGATTTACTCTGGAGATAAGAGATCAACTTTCCTTCCTACTTTGTATCTCAGGCATACAACTTTATTTTTAGCAACCCTCTGATTCCTGCTTGAGCCTTTGGGATGTATTCCTATCCCTGGAACACAGTGTACCCCCGCTTTGCTTTATCTCACAACTCTTTGCAGTTAAAAGGGTGTAGTGTACCTGTTTGTGTTTAAGGTGTCCCCATTTAGGCTGGTAGTTTATTTGGGGCAAGTTCTTTTCCATTTGTGTCTGTAAAGTATCTGTGTTCTCAGGGAAACCTCAGGTGTCACTACAATGCAAATCCTTCTCAAAACATGCCATCACTGTGAAATGGAAATATAAGGAGACTCTATATCTTTTTTACAGCCCTGTGCTTGGCTTTCCATGAACTGTAGTTCATTTACTAATACCATGGAGGAAAAATGGGTAAGGTCGAGAGCTCAGTGGACAAAATGTTGCAGATTCTCTGCAATTATCTATGATGTTGTCATGTCCAAAGATCAAATAGAATGCCTCAAAGCCACTGATTCCTGCCTCCTCTCCAAGCTAATACTGGACACGGCTGAAAAGTGCATCATCTGCTTGTACTCTAGACCAGTCAACAGGATGTTGACATGCTGTTTGATAGTGCATGTTTGGGACAGTGGTAACGTAAGCTGGGTAGACGTGGCGGGGGTGAATCATACTATTGGCTCTTGCTGAGTTCAAGAAATCTGAGAGCAGGCTTTGGTACATGTATTTCTCATAACAAAGGAACTAAAAGATAAATAAAATAAAGTTAATCATGCCAAACTTTAAACCAAAAGGGAACACTTGCTCACACGAAACAGAATTAAACACTGGAAGTCATCATTCCTAGGGGATCTGGTACAGTTAGACCTTCAGTTTGACTGAAAACCATCATTCTTGTTTACATAGTTGGAACCTTATTATCTGTAGCA